GTAAAAGCGAAATACCTCAAGTGTCTCATGACCTCAGGGCCCCTTTCCCTGCACATCGCAACTTTCCAAAAAGAGAGGCGCTGACCAAAGCCAAAAAACTCAAGCCGGGCAAATATGGCCAAACAAAAAAAATTTTTGTTTCTTTTGCAGTATAAAAATGAGACAGAATGAAAAAACAAAACACAAAAGAAAGCATAAACTACAAAAACCGACAAAAGCGAGCATTTTTGTGAATAAAATTAATAACAATACTACTGCACCTACTACAATACTAATAAAAATAATAATAATAAATTAAGGGAGTTTAATCAAGAATACAATTTTTTAATTATTGTGACTTAAAATTTTCGCCTCAAAAAAGGTCAAAATAAAATGCAAATTCTTGCATATGTTGGGAAATTAAAAATTTTATATTACCATTTTTTTATCAAGGCAAAGTTAATGAATAAAGATAAATCATTAAAATATGTTTTATCGACTTTTCGATCCGAGGTGGCTTTCAATCACACAAAAAACCATTTTTTAAACAAAAAAAAATTGTAATCAAAAAATTTACAAAAATTTTATTTAAATTTGTTTTGGGATGGTGAACGGGAAAAGGGAAAAATTTGAAGTGAGTCATTTATTTTTTATGTTGAAAAGGTGACTTTTGAGGTGGACCCCATACTGCACCAGCCCCCCCAACTTTAGTACCCACTTTTACCACTGTTATACCCGCTGCCCCACACCCGAAACCCTGCACCTTGTGCCAAGGTCAGTACTCTGCCCCTGCACGTCTTGTCCCAAAGGCATACCGTGCCTGCACGCTTGTGCCAAAGTCAGTACCAAATTAAGGAAAAAATTTAAAAATTAGGGGCAGGTGTTCCCATGACAAACAAACGCATTTTTTGGTTTCCCTTTTCCCATTTGTGGAAAAGAGATAAAACATTCACTTCTACCACGTTTTCCCATACACTTTTTTTTATATATTACTAAAAGGTGGGAATAAAAAAAAGGGTGATGGAGTTATGTAACTTACGTAAGAGATAGCAACTTTTCAACGATGGATTTAATGTATTTATTTGTCATGAAAAATCACCTGGCCTGTGGGATTATGTTCAATCATAAAGCTCGGGGGTTTCATTAGACTTCGTAAAAGCTTCACTGTGATGAAACTTTAAGTACACAGACACCTATAAAATAGAAACCAACTCACAGGGACACAAAGATAAAAAAAAAGTTTTTTGTATATTTCGACCTCGGCCTTACGGAGTTGAAAAACCTCAGCAACTTCTTTTTACGTCTTTTCCCCTTTGGGGGTTGGTTTCTTTTTTGTCTCCAGGGGGTTGGGTTCCCTATTATTTATTCAAAGGGGATTGGTTCCTATTATATTTTTTCCATGTGTTGGGTTTCCCCTTTTTAAATTATGTCCGGTGGGTTGGTTCCTATTAATTTTATGTCATGTGGGGGGGTTCCTATAAAATGTCCATGGGGGTTGGGTTCCTATTGTATAATTCCTTTGGGGTTGTTTCCTATTATATTATGTCCATGTGGGTTGGTTCCTATTAATTTGACCATGGGGGTTGGTTCCTTTTATTTTATGTCCATGGGGGTTTTTTTTCCTGTTATTTTATGCCTTGATTTGGTTCCTTTATTTTAAATTCCTGGGGGGTTTGGTTCCTGTTTATTATTCCATGGGGGGGTTGGGTTCCTTTATATTATGCCCATGGGGTTGGTTCCTTTATATTATTCCATTGGTTGGGTTTTTCTATTATATTAGTCCATGGGGGTTTGGGTTTCCGTTATATTTTCCAGGGGGGTTTGGGTTCTTATTAATTATGTCCTTGGGTTGGCTCCTATTATTTTGTCTCCACTGGGTGGTTCTTATTCTTGTGTCTGGGGTTCATAAAAAAGAGGCACAGCAGCAGGTCTACTGCCCACGCTACAATCCTGTTGTCAATCAATGAATTTAAAGAAACATAAGGACATTTTGTAGCTAAAAACGAGTGTTTTCGGACACGGGGTTGGTACTGCAGCGAGATGCCCGGTAGCATCCTGGGGGGGGGCTGCACCCTCTGAGGCACCGCCTCAAACCCCTCAGGATCCAGGTATAGGGGAAAGGCTCTGCTGGCCTACAGGTAAGTAACTTAAAAGCACGCTTCCCACAATAAAGGGGCCTTAAAACGGGAAGGGTTCTTTTCCAGGGGGTTTAAAATTTTTCCTCCCCCTTCCTGAATCAAAAAAATTAAATTCCCTTCCCCAGGCTCTCTAGAATCCTAGGGTTTTTAGCGTTTTCCCAGGAATACTCCAAGAAAAAAACATCATGTACCTCTTTGCGTTACGTGCACTAAGCTGTGCTTCCTTATGAACTTTTACTATTAAAATCTGCTGACATTCGGAATTGGTTACTCAACGTAAATTCATTCACGAAACATACAATTAGCTGATATGTGGTCATGTATTATTTATAACACTCAATATTTTAGCAAGGTATGGTTGAATTTTGAGACGTTTAAGTATAGCTGGAGTTGTGAGTTTATTTACAACAGGTAAAGTTAGGGTATTATTCCAGAATGGCTGGTAATATGCTACCGTGGATAAAATACTTCGACCTTCCTTCAACATTTGTGAGTAAGCTGTCCTCTGAAATTTTTTTTTTTTACTTGGTATACCAGCTACAGGCCATGGAATTCTCTCTTCCAATTTGAAGGTGACCACCCAGCTTCTAGGGCATCGTATAACGAATTTTTCAAATAGCATAATGGAAAACTGGATAATGATGTGGATTATTTTTTTGATCAGAGTGATGACAACGATAAAATGGAGAGGACTGCAGAAGTGGCGACGACAGATAGAGAACTTGGTGGAGGCCGATGTGGTGGAGGGTGAGGAATTTTATATGGAGGAACAGTCTTTAGGAGAGGCTAAACATGAAACTTTCCCGGGGAAGCCCTTCACATGGGAGGGGAAGTACAATCCTCGCGACTACAGAACCGTTCTCCGCTTAATAACCAACTCCACTAAGAGGACGTTCGGTGACATGTTCAAGCGAGCGATTACTGCAGTATATCTGGCTCACTGCCTGAGACTTACAGGCTATTTTGGCCCAGATGATAACGAGGACAATATAATATTTGCCGCAAGTCTTTTACTCAGGCACTTACAAGGAGGTTCTTGCAATGCGTATGAAATCAGTGAGTTTGATGTTGGTTCTGAGGGTATTGCTAGTACAAAGATGATTGAGGTGGGTGGAGCTCTGTACACCACCATCTCCCTCACCAACCACTCCTGTGTCAGTAACACCACTCGTTACAGTGTGGGTGATAAGTGTGTACTGAGGGCTACCAGGTCCATTTCTCGGGGTAGTGAAGTTTTCGATAATTACGGTTTCCATTTTTATTCGGTCACTGTTAACGAACGTCAAGAAGCTCTGTTTAACCAATATAAATTTAAATGTATGTGTGAGGCGTGTAAATGGGCATGGCCGTTGTATCCACATCACCCGGCCGAGACCCTCATCTTCAGGTGTCCAGCACCCTCCTGTGGTGGCCCCTGCTGCTACTCCAGCAGCAGCCGCTCCAAGTGTAACATGTGTGGCAACCAACAGCAGTATACCAAGTTCGTACAAGAATTAGAGCTACAGTTAAGCAGCTACAGAGATGCACTAGACAAGTTGAGAAATGACGACCCGTCGTCTGCGCTGCCTATCCTATTGGCCCATCAAGCCTTCCTGGACCGGCATGTTGTAGAGCCCGTGAAACACTACACGGACATACAAGAGGCTACCAAGCAGTGCTACAACTACTTGGGAAATATCCATCAACTTCGGCAGACCATCACCCTGGCCCAGCCACAGTACCGTCCACCACCTAAGCTGAAGGCGGCGCCCAGGAAGGTTGTCATGCATCAATAGTTCCCAGACTCGAGGCTCCATCATACAACCATTGTAAGATGTTTGCTCACAATTCAAGTCATCCCGGCTACAGGTAATTCTTACAAAAATCATATAAAAAAGAACATCTAGTAAATAATGTTTTCATTAATTAAAATTAGGAATTTAAAATTTAAAATAGTTCTTTTAATATCCTGCAATTATTACGTTTATTTAAAAAAATTCTCTACAGTGATTTCAGTATACCATCAAGGCAGAATGACTCCATGTGATTTAATGCTTTCCATGAATATATTAACAAACATTATGCAGTCAGTCCCTTGCAAGGAGGTGCCTTGATACCAGTGAGCTCTTGATCCAAAGAACTGAAACCACCCTTCATTCGATCGAATTTCATCGCCTCCCATTCCCCTGGTACTGTATGACACTACGGATTTAGCGGTTCCCATGAATGTAATAATGAAAATTATGCCATCAGCAGCGTCCATAAGAGACTGGGTCAGTGTATTATATGCAGTGAGTACTTGAGAACAGCAGTGAACAGTGACCGTACTGTAAGTAAGCAAGTATGTTTAGTTAGGTACAGGTCCCGTAAGTACGATTATACAAAGTAACATGTGTAAATTACCCAGGATTATTATTATTATAATCAAGGGGGAAGCGCTAAACCCAGAGGATTATACAGAAATTACCCAGGAACCTCCCCCCCCCACACACAAAAAAAAAGTCAGACGAAGTGACTTGTTTCCACCGTTGTGCTCCGGGTTTTCTGGTGTTTTCACGGTCGCTCTTACGTGCTAGAACTTAATTTGTGTCATCAATCCTATACGATACATCCCTCTAGCGCCTGGAACCAATCTTGGGCGGAAAACATTATATACTGAGTCAAAAAAGGAGAATTAGTGTGCACTACCTAGCAGAGTTTACTGCCAGAGGGGAATCATAGGCCTGTGTCCCGTGTGAAAAAAATAATAATGAACTTTTCGTGTCAGAGGAAAGAAAGTCTCCCTGATAACATTGAGTATACATAGTGTATAGTGTATACTACAGTGACTCCCTAGTATATTGTTGATAAAGGCTAAAGTGTCATTTGAAGATTAAGAGGTGAAATTGTAAATGAAGTGATAAGCCTATAGAGGCTGGTGCCAGAAGTCGCCAGAAACTTACCACAGGTCAGCTCTTTTTTAATAATCTTCCTGGCTTGCTAGTGTACTCGCATATAATCTAGTGATACCAGTGAATAGCAGAATCCAGTGTTGTAGTAGCAACTAACCAGTATTATAATGGTACTTAGTGGAGTTTACCTGGAGTTTACCTGGAGAGAGTTTCGGGGGTCAACGCCCCCGCGGCCCGGTCTGTGACCAGGCCTCCTGGTGGATCAGCGCCTGATCAACCAGGCTGTTGCTGCTGGCTGCACGCAAACCAACGTACGAGCCACAGCCCGGCTGATCAGGAACTGACTTTAGGTGCTTGTCCAGTGCCAGCTTGAAGACTGCCAGGGGTCTGTTGGTAATCCCCCTTATGTGTGCTGGGAGGCAGTTGAACAGTCTCGGGCCCCTGACACTTATTGTATGGTCTCTTAACGTGCTAGTGACACCCCTGCTTTTCATTGGGGGGATGGTGCATCGTCTGCCAAGTCTTTTGCTTTCGTAGTGAGTGATTTTCGTGTGCAAGTTCGGTACTAGTCCCTCTAGGATTTTCCAGGTGTATATAATGAGTGGAGTGACTTTCATTAGTTTCTTTTTTCTTGAAATACCAGACGTATACTGTGAATTTCATATAACCTGTAGTTACCAGCGGTCGCAATATACACAACCAGAAGCAAATATTACTAAAGAAAAAGCGTCCTTCCTCCAAAATTTCCACCAGTCAACTATAGTGATAATATAGCATTTATTGTGGTGGAGACGGAAAAAAAAAAATAGAAAAGCTAGATACAGCGATTGATAAACAAGGGTTGAGGTCGACCGTTCGTCATTGTTGGAGTTGCCAGAAATCACCGGTTTCTTCAACACCCAAGTTATACTTTTGTATCAATCAAATCACATATTACTCGGGTAGATAATTACCAGTAGATCCTTCATGTGTTAGCCCAAATCACCGGCCAGTATGTTTTAAATAAGCGACCCACTGATCAGATCAGATCGACTGGTCCGAACCCTTGACTGGTCCGAACCCTTGACTGGTTTCAAACGGTTTCGTTGGACAATAAAGCAGACTGTAAACGGATAGGGTTGTAGGCGCCCTTATAAACACAAACATTAAATATATATCAGGAACGTGCACGGTAAGCTGTCCAATATACAAAAACAGTTAGAAACAGAAATACAAATAGCTAGAGCTTCATTTAAGGAGGTTATTAATAGAATATTCAAGAGGTTGCTAGTAAAATTGCAGTAAATCAACCATTCAAATCATTATGAAGCTGTGTGTAGTCTGTGGTCAGTCAAACAAACGGGCTTCCACATGGATAAATTGTCATTTGTGTGGAAATTGGTGTCACGCCCCTTGTGCAGATATCCAAGAACTAGCTACAAGCAGTGTTAAAACAGGGAAATGTTTTTGGGTATGCCCAAATGAGATAAATCTGTGGACTAAAATCACAAGGGTATTAAAAGAGGACAACATCAAAGCTGCTTTCATAGACAACCTGCAAGCTTTCTACAACAGATGGGAACATAAAAAGTCTGTGCTGAATGGTACTGCCCTTGATACTGGCCATGTAGTCAGAAACTGTAAGGCTGGAGATGAAGTCCTGGTAGTCAGTAAATGTGGGGCTGATAGTGCTGTCCTGGGAGACAGTAATGGTGAAGCTGGAGGTGCTGTCCTGGGAGACAGTAATTGTGAAGCTGGAGATGCTGTCCTGGGAGACAGAAATGGTGAAGCTGGAGATTTTGTCCAGGTAGTCGGGAACTATACGCAGGAAGGAATACATATAAATGACCTCATAGGGACAGGAAGCCATAGTAGGGAAACAAGTGTAGTCAAAGATAAGATAAAACCAATATTGCAAACTAGAAATACCGCAGGAAATAGCAAACAAGAGGACTCCACTAGCAATAGTGAGGATATATTACCAAAAACAACTGGTGGGAGCTCCATTGTTGGTGCTAGGGAGGATAGAAGTAAGACAGGGAAACATGCACCAACAGGGAATACAGTCACAGAAACCCAAGGCAAATGGAAACCAAGCCTGTGCACATACTATGCACTTGGTATCTGCTGGCATGGGAAATCTGGAAAAACAGATGGGACGTGCAACTATGATCACCCTAGAAAATGCCATGCCCATATGACAACAGGAAAATGCAAACTCCCTTCCTGTAAGCTTTTTCACCCTGAACTGTGTACCTCTTCAGTACAGGAAAGACTGTGCTATAACTTAAATTGCCAGGCATACCATCTAAAGGGGACAAAAAGAAACAAAACATCCAGGCCATGGGAAAACCTGGGTAGCCACAGCCACTCAAGAGGAGAGGTTTTTTAGAGCCAGGAAGGAAAAAAAAACTGGCAGGAAATGGCAGAAATCGTACACCAAATCCAGTCATTCCTGGAGTGGAACCACAGTCGATGGCCTCCACTCCAAACCAACAGATACAGATAATAATGCCGGAAAAAAATCCCCCCCCCAGTACCAACAATACCACCAGTCCGATAACATTCTTCTTTGCAAATATACAGGGTCTAAAGCCAGCAACAAACAACAAAATACCTTTCATCCATGGACTGCTTGCAGAGGCAAAGGCAATGTTCGCGGCTTTCACTGAGACCCACATAAAGGATCACTTGGACAACGAAATATGGATCCCAGGTTACAACCTATACAGATGTGACAGAGTGAACAGGCAAAAGGGGGGGGGGTTGGCCTGTACATTGCAGAGTCACTTGTTTGCACAGAACTGCTTAATGCCTCAAATGATGTAGTGGAAGTTTTAGCAGTAAAGGTCGAGAACCAAAACCTAGTCATTGTGGTAGTCTACAAGCCTCCAGAGGCAACATCCCAGCAATTCCAGGAACAGCTGTTAAAAATTTGACCACTGTCTGGAAAATCTTCCAGCTCCTGCACCCAACATCTTGCTCCTGGGGGATTTCAACTTAAGGCACCTAAAATGGAGGAATATAGCAAATAATATTGTTGCAGTAATAACACCAGGAGGCAGCTCTGATGAAAACTCACACTCACACGAGCTTTTAAATCTCTGCACAAAATTCAATTTAAACCAGCAAATAATAAAACCTACTAGACTGGAGAATACACTAGACCTCATCTTCACTAACAATGATGATCTGATAAGAAATATCACCATATCAAAAACAATATACTCAGATCACAACATAATTGAGGTTCAGACATGTATGCGTGGAGCCCCAAACCGACATAATGAGACTAGTCACGAGGGAGCATTCACCAAATTCAACTTCATTAACAAAAACATAAAGTGGGACCAAGTAAACCAATTCCTAACCGATATAAGCTGGGAAGATATACTAAGCAACACAGACCCCAACTTATGCCTAGAACAGATTAACTCGGTGGCACTCGATGTTTGCACAAGGCTTATTCCTCTAAGAAAAAGGAGGAGTAGATGTAAAATAGAAAGAGACAGGCGCTCCCTTTACAGGCGACGGAAATGAATAACAGAGCGGCTAAAAGAGGTCAATATATCTGAAATGTGTAGGGAGACACTGGTCAGAGAAATAGCAAGCATCGAACTTAAGCTAAAAGAATCCTTTAGGAGTCAGGAATCGCGGGAAGAACTAAAAGCCATAAATGAAGTCGAAAGAAACCCAAAGTATTTCTTCTCATATGCCAAATCAAAATCGAGAACAACGTCCAGTATTGGGCCCCTACTTAAACAAGATGGGTCCTACACAGATGACAACAAGGAAATGAGTGAGCTACTCAAGTCCCAGTATGACTCAGTTTTTAGCAAGCCGCTAACCAGACTGAGAGTCGAAGATCAAAATGAATTTTTTATGAGAGAGCCACAAAACTTGATTAACACAAGCCTATCCGATGTTATCCTGACGCCAAATGACCTCGAACAGGAGATAAATGACATGCCCATGCACTCTGCCCCAGGGCCAGACTCATGAAACTCTGTGTTTATCAAGAACTGCAAGAAGCCCCTATCACGAGCCTTTTCCATCCTATGGAGAGGGAGCATGGACACGGGG